CTACGAATCTCGTTTTTGATCCAAGATAAATTCTGGTATACGTCGAATTTCTGGAACCGTGGTGTGGATGTCAGAAGCAAATGAACAAATGCATCTTATTAATAACGGGGCAGTGCGCGTAAAGTCTTGTTCATTAAAGGTCGGAGGCTGCTAATGCATGTTTTATAAACCCTGCGTCTGGTGATTTAAAATTTCATCTACCCTGTACGCATCATGCTTTCAAGGATAGAAAAAATAAAAAAAGCTTGCTTTTTTATTTTTTCTATCATCATTAGCAATATTTCGGCTCGTGTGGCGGTAAAATTTGACGCCTTATGGCAGTGAACTTTCAGGCATCATGGCAGAATTACTTAGAGGTCTCATGAAACTTGCCCGAACAGTGAGTTAGACACGGAGACACAATATTAAAATAGGGAAAAAGAGACAGATGAGTGAGAAAATAAAAAAAAAAAAAAAAAATTCAAGGTATAATTTCGGCATATATTAGCATGCTCTATAGCACTGGTGTTTATTAATTGCACAGCCTGAAAACAGGTCCTATAAGATGCGGGTTATGTTATCAATTGTCATCTTAGTTTTCTTCATCAATTGCTCATTCATCAATGGACTAAAAGGTTTGTGATTTTTATTTCGATTTCGCACACATTAATGAAAATGAACACATATTTTTTTACCTTAGACTCGTCAATAAGCGATAACTTTAAGCTTTACTGAGCAGAAAACATCACATTTTGAAACTATGAGGTTAAACCCTCCTTCCTTTTTTTGGTTAACGCATTCCTATTATCAGATACTCAAAAATTATAATCTGCTGCAGATGTTCTCCCTTTACCATTGGTTTACTGCATGAAACAATTAATGCACTTCTGTTTTTACATCGATTCATTAAAGTTAGTCTCAGGAGGAACATTACACTTTTTCCCAGAGGATTTGTTGAAAGCAAGTTTCAAAATTTATTAAAAAAGTCTGAAAAAGGAGAGTTATTTGAAACCTCCAGCGAAATGAGAAACCTTTTTCTCGTTTCTTATCTAACAAAAAATGTACACGTACAAAATTTTACTTCGTTATCTTATTACAGAAACCATCAGAGATGATTGTATCGTATCGTAATCGTGAACTGTCGAACTTCAATGAAATTTGATGAACTTCAAAAAAATCAATCGGTCATTTGTTTTATCTACAATTTTTCAATATAGGTTGATATGTATATTCTCTATCATAAATGGTAAAATGAAATATAAAAAATAATGAAATCAAGCGAGATGTGCGCATTGTAAACCATTGTACAAAATCCATTGTTTTACAGTGGGTTCGGTATTTTTGGTCGATATTCGAGAATTAACAGAGCGAAGGCTTGCACATGCTAAGCATGTTTATAACAGATTTTCTCATGTAACACATATCACCTGTTTTCTTTTTTTTTTTTTTTTTTTTTTTTTTTTTTTTTTTTTTACATTATCTTGTATTATTTCTTGATCAACGTTTTCCGCAGAGTAAAATTATTATCACGCCAGTTGAATTCACTTCATTATTTCTAACTTTTTATAAGCTTTATTGAGACTCATTTTACAGAAATGGAGTTCTTGCATGTCTGTTGGATTTGCGATTTAAGTACATATTCTATCTTGCGTAAAATTTTACGAGAAACACAGTGGTGTCACTTGTTTTCTCTGAAACGAACCACAAAACTCAAAAAACCTCTCAAGGTACATCAGCAGGGTTGCCGTGTTTTCAGTTTTGGAGTCGCAACCCCGTTACTTTATTTTCTCCCTATGACATTATGTTTTGTCCTTTTATTTGCATGGAGATTTTGACTTGATGTAGAGGTTGTCAGGATAGCCTGGAATATCCCCTTCATTACAGCTTGCAGCTTGAGAGTTTTTTTTAAGGTTTGGAGTTAGTTTCAAAGAAAACCATCACACCATCGTGTTTCTCGCGAAAGTTCAACAGGAATCAGTAGGTACTTACAACATGATTTCCTGACACATAACGGAGCTCCAGAAGCTCCATCAGGCCCTTGACATTCAGATGGTGTAAACAATTTTACGGCACTAAACTCGTTTTCCTGAATAATTATGATATTCGCAACATTATCTTGATTAGAATCTTATTTTTATCTCCCATTTTTTTTTATGATCCGAGATAATTTCTGGTATACGTCTAATTAATTGTGGAACCATAGTGTGGGTGGCAAATGCAAAAAAATAAAAACGGATCTTGTAACAACGGGGCAGTGCACGTACAGTCCTTTTCATTACAGGTCGGTGGCTGTTCATGCATGTTTTATAAACCCTGCATCTGATGATTTACACCTCATCTTTCCTACGCATTATGCTTTCGAGGAAAGAAAAACGATAAAAAACAGGTCGTTAGCAAATTTTCAGCGCATGTGACAGTAAAATTTGACACATTATGACAGTGACCTTTCGGGAATCATAACAGTGACCTTTCGGGCATCATGACAGTGACCTTTCCGGCATCATGACAGTATACTTATAGAGGTCTCGTGAAACTTGCTCAAACGGTGAGTTAGACACGGAGACACAGTCGTAAAATAGGATAAAAGGAATAGATTTGTGAGGAAATAAAAAAAAAAAAATAATTCAAGTACAATGTGGGTATATATTAGCATGCTGTAGCACTAGTGCTCATTGATTGGATAGCCTGAAAACAGGTCCTATAAGATGAGGGTTATGTTATCAATTGTCGTGTCAGTTTTCTTCATCAATTACTCATTCATCAATGGACTATAAGATTTGTGATTTTTATTTTTTATTTTTTTTGTACAGGTTAGTGGAAAGGAACACATAATTGCACTTAAAACTCACCAGTAAACTCCAGTTAATTTTCAATTTAATTCATTATCAATATATATTTTAACATGAATGAAGTATTTTAACACGTTTGAGTGCATGTGTTCGTCTCTTGTGATCAAAAACCTGCCTTTAAATAGACAGTATTTGATAATCGTATGGAAATTCAAGGTTTTCAAAATTTTGTCCCCTCCCATTTCTTCCGATTTTTAAATACTGTTTTTTTTCATGCGCCCAATTCGATTTATAAGAACCTTTCGTCGGCTAGCACTATGTGCGCGTATTTCTGTGTTTATTTTATACCAAACCTTATTTTTCTGTCTCTTAGCTGGGCAAAAGCAAGCGAGCACAGGATTTAAAGGCTCAGTCCAGCGTAAGTTATTTATCAAATTTTTGCTAATTCCCCGATTATAAATTAACAATATTCCTAAATTTCTGATTGTATCCAATGAATTCATTATCGTTTGCTTTTTTGACGCACACCTTAGACGTATAAAAAATTTCTTAACTCTTGTCTGCCGACAGGGGTCCCCTATTACCCGGCGCTTGGTAAACATATGTGATACTCTCTTACTTTTTCTTTCAGAGATTCGCTCTTTCGCAAACTAACTAAAAACAACATTCATTACTGCAAAACTATGCAAGTTCTTACAAGAGAACTGCTTTATTCGATTTTTTTATAACAACTGATATGATTTATTACCTTATTTAATCCATTTTCTGCTAAACGGAACTATGTGCATTATGACGTGAGCCCTATGTGCATATATTCTCAAGGGTCTTAGGACCCTTGTCTTAATGCACACAGTTCCATTCGGCAGAAATACGTATAATGATTATTTGTACTCCCAGAGCTGTGGAAGATAATAATATCCCGTTTTTTCTTTCAATGTGCGCATTTGTTACACTTTTGTCTTTAGATTTGATACAAAAGACAAAAATGTTTCATCTCCAGCATCATACACCACAAAATGTCACAAAAAATGTTCGATGAGAAACTGTAAAGGTTGCATACCCTCAAAATTTCAGGATAATTTGGAATGAACACAAATTGATTCAAACTATTGACTCAACCTATTATCGGCGATTGACTCAAACTATTATCTGAGTACAATAAACTTAATTGGAGTCTTATCAGAATTGTTTTTTTTTAAAAAATAAATTTGACTCCATATTTCCGAAGGAACTTTATGTGCGTATTGAAATTGCTATGATGATGAACACGTAAGGCACTTTTAGATAAGCGGATTTCCAAATAGCGTGGTCTCAGGGAGTGGAATAAAGTATCAAAATTGATTACAGCTGAGATTTTAGAGGCATTTTCTTTATAGTTGTACGTGAAATAATTTTTTAAATCTTATTTTTCCATTTTTAGGTATGATCTCGGGTGGTCTCCAAAGTCTACGCAATCTTCCGAGTAAAAGTTATGGGAGCTTTCGTAGCCTCTCTGACAGCAAATTTAGCCTCAGAAGCGATTCATTCATGACCTATAGAACCGATGCCGATAGAGAATCATGGCAGGCTCAAAGTAAGTTTCACACAATGAGAGACAAACGGAGGGACAAGGAGAGATAAAAGCAGAGAAAGAATATAAATTTTAAAAGCAATATAACTCAAGTAAATCGAATAAGAAACCGATTATTGAGCTTTCTTTAAAGACTAAATTTCATGAACAATTAAGTGAAGAAGTAGTTAGGAGACCGATTTGTTAATCAATGTTTCTTTTTCTTTTTTTATCATTTCGCACTATAAAAACATTTTTTGTAAAACACAGCAGCTGAAAAGAATTAAAAAATCATACTTTTGAATCTTCATCCGAAATTAGAGAAAAATTAAGATTCACGTCAATTTGAAAAGTCACTTGAACAAGCGTAAAAACATAGCCATTCAATACAGGTTTATTACATAGGCTCATTAATTTTTTTCACGGCATTAGTGGGTTCAGTTATGTAATTATTTGTGCACGCTTTGTAGACATTTTACCCCACAAACGCCTTTATCTCGTTTTATTTTCAGGTTTAGCCTCAGGAGTAAAAGAAAAGGTGAAAAAAGCTGCAAGTTATGGCTCATCATCTTTGAAAGCTTTGGCATCAGGTATTTCATTTTCCTCACAAACCTATGTTACTTTGATAAAGAAAACTTGTTTTTGTTTACGTGAAATTTATTGATCCCCGGATTCGGAATAAGATGAAAGTGACTGAATCCATATCAAGAGCAAGTAATGGGTTCGATTGAAATTAAGTGTTACATAGGCTGATTCCAAGTCGAAGGTGCGCAAATCAAGTTGCCTCAGTGTGAGCAATAGAAATGATGATTATAATATATTGACAAAATTTGGACAATATCGAGGGTGAAGGGGAGGGAAGCAAAAACGTCAGTTTGCAACAAGCTGTCCACGAATATTGTGAAACTCATTGTCAGCTAAAGCTCTGGGCTAGTACTCTGTGCGAGGAAAAACGGTGCATTAATATTCAGTCCTTACCAATTTTTCTCCAAATAAATTCAAAATCTTTGAAAGCTTTGATTTACCCTCACATGAGTCACATGACGTCGGCCGTCGGCCTGCCACTATTCTCAATTCCTGTTACTATTTATCTTAAATAGATGGATCTACGCTTAAGAGGAAGATCGCGTTTAACATCCGCGATTATCGTGTGCATAATATTGATATAATTCATGCGAACATGCTTCCTTTTAGAATTAATACGCCCCAATGTTAAGTGCCTCATGCTACCCTCTACAGTCCCTTCCAGATGTATCTCTTCCATTGTTAATTCACGTGTTTTACGTTTTTTAGGTGTTTTGGAGGGTGTGCGTCGTAGGACAAGTAGACAGAGATCCCAAGAATTTGAATCTTCTGACGGTGAGAACAGATTTATTTTGTTCAACGTCTTACAAAGATGTCATTCTATCCGAGATTGTATTTTTCTCTTTTGTACTTTCGTATTGCAATTTTTTTTCGTCCATCTTTATCTTACAAAAAGGAGTCAATATCACGTAAGTAGTATAGAAATGAGGATNCGTCACAGCATGAAAAGACGGCTATCATTTTATACTCTAAAACACCCGAAATTTTCCCGCTCAATTTCACATCATATCACCCAGTAAATCATTCAACACCCTTAAATTAACCCCGATTTTTCTGCTCAATTTTACAAGGTTGGTAACGCCACAGCATGAAAAGACGGTTACCATTTTACGGTGTAAAACACCCATCACCGGTAATGAATTCAAATTTTCCCGCTCAATTTTACAACGTTGGTGACGTCACAGCATGAAAAGGCGGTTGCCATTTTACGGTGTAAAACATCCATCACCCGTAATTAATTCAAATTTTCCCGCTCAATTTTACAACGTTGGTATCGTCTATACTTGCCCCTGATAGTTACGCAACACCCAACAATTAACCAGTCGTTAGTGACGTCACAACATGGTTGCAAAATCATACGCCATACCCCACCCTCATTCCGAAATAATCAACATTTTTCTGCACAATTTTACAACACCGGTATCATGGAAACATTGTTGCCAGATCATACGCTAAAATATCCATCACCCGACCACGCCCTTCAATTAATTCCGATTTTCCTGCTCAGTCTGGCAACGTAGGTAACGACTATACCTGCCCCTGATAGCCAGGCAACACGCAACAAGTTGCCCCTTGCTGGGTAGGCAATCTGTGTAAGTGTCCGTATATCCCTATTTATACACTACTCACGTAGCGGTGCAATTTGTGTCGCAAGAACAAAAAAAACCCTTCATTTCTTTGGCCGATAGCTTTGAATGGGTTACTTCTGCATCACTTTGGCTCAAAGACGTATTCAAAAGACAAAATAAAGTCCATGACGGCCATCTTGATCACACATTAAATCAGACCAATCTATATAAATAAAATCGTTGGGAGTTTCACTGTAACGCTTATTTCTGGAGTTCTACCGGACCGATTTCGACGATGCTTGACTCTGGTGAAAGCCCTTGACGTCCCGATGTCCGCAAAACTTTCAGACCTCCAAATTTTTCAGCCTCTTTCGCTTGAGACGCTCTTAAAGCCAAATCCACCCTCTTCCGACCTTACGTTTCCGAGAGTTAGTCACTCGCGAAAGTCGCTATAAGTCACTCGCGAAGCGAGTGACCGGGAGTCCAGGGGGCGGAGCCCCCGGCTAGACACGAGACGAGCGAAGCGAGCCACAGCGGCTAGTAAGGAATAAGGCAGCGGCGTTGTGACGTCTTCAAGTCACTCACGTTGATCGTATATTAAAGCAGATTATGAGGCAGAGTCGCTGTCACGTCCTCAAGTAACTCATGTTTTCATTTCAAAAGCCACTATGTTTAACGTTTAAAAATTGTATGTAACTGTTAACAAACAGTTGTGCAGTTGTGAATTGTTTGAAGATCAGGATCTTCAAATCACAGAATGACCAAAAACTTTAATGATGTAATAGGTGAAGGAGAGAGAAAATAAACTTAAAGCCAAACCCGTTGGCGCCATTGAGAACATGGCGCCTGGTCGAATGAATAAAGGTTGCGAGTCAGAGACAGAGGGGGCCAACAACGTCCACAAAGAGTGCACCCGCTAGCGGGCGCGCTCAATAAAAAAATATTTGCAGGGCATAGTGTTTTTAATGCACATACAGGGTGTACCAAAAGTCCGTCCCACCCCTGCTAACTTTTGATCGAATTGAGCTCTAGGGTAATGAAACTTTGGGAATGTCCCTATCTCAAAGGGGACCATCTTTTGGGGGGGGGGTCAAAATTTTGGTCCCCCCTCAGGGAGGGCGCGGGGGGCCCCCAACTTTTTTTTTTCAAATGGCAACCCCTATCTTGTGATGCCTCATTCGAAAGAGCATACAAAACTAAGAATTTTGGCGCAAACCGCAGATCAATATCTTAATTTTTGACCGAGTTATGATAGGCCAAAGGTCAAATTTGACCTATTTTCAAAAAATCATAACTCCGGTTCAAATTATCGTAAAGAAAAAATTAAAACGGGAAAATGTACCAAATTGTGTCCGCTTTTAAGTAAAAATTGCAGAAATCACTTCGTTTTGATTTTAAGGATGGGCTCGGACCCCCAAATACGTCAATTCAAAGGTCATTCAATTTTCCCGCGAAATAAGCCAATTTCGCCTAGATTTGCCTCCACTTTATCTCAGTAAGGTCGAAATCAGTTCAACATTACGTTCGCAAGTCCCCAAATTTCGGGAAAAGTTGAAAAAAACAAAATTTAAACGGTCAAATTTAATCACCTTAACGTACATACTCCAGGTATTTCTACGGGAAAGGGGACTTTAAAGATTTCTGATACATTATTCAGAGTATTCTCTATATTGCAATATTTTTTTTTTTAAGTAGAAGTCCTCGAAAGCCTCACAAAACCTTACAACTACTGAGCCAATCAGAGAACGGCGCAAACATACCAATACTTCAGGTATAACCCCGGTAGTCGTAAAGAAAATGAAACTTTTTTTCGAAGTTAATGATACACTATATTTTGCTCTATTACAGTTGACATTGAGTGGTGCTACGATCTGCCCATTGGTACAGAGTTACAATTACCTAAATCAACATGCACCATCGTCTCGCCTTGCTTCCCTGAACAAGATGTCGCATATACGGTAGAAATCAGTTCCTCGCCCCGATGTATGTGCACACCAACGCCCCCCTCCTCGCCAAAGCCAAGACACTCGCCAACTGGTTCGCCAAGAAGTTCGCCAACTGGTTCACCATCGCGCTCACCACCGCGTGGCAAATCCGATTCGCCACGGTCAAGATCTCCAGAGCAATCTCGTAGCAGTTCACCCGAACGTCGCAGAAGAACCTCGCCTGACCGAACGGTTAAAACGCCACCGGAAACCTCGGGCCAAAAATCACCAGAGGATTTGCCGCGCAAAGGAGGCCTTAAGAAACAGTCCAAAAAGTCGCCTGGGGGGTCGCGCAAGGTATCACCTGTGCCCACCCTTCAATTCACGGATACGCCCCACTTCACACAGATCCCTTCCAGCCCCAATAAGCCCCTGCCTCCACCTGGACCTCTGAAACCTTCGATAAGTCTCCCCAAGGGTCTCATTGAGCTCCCCAAAACCTTGAAAGGTGATCCTGAAACCTCTTCCTCAAAGAAGTGGTCTCCGCCCAAGACTCCGCAAAAATCACCACCTAAGTCTCCACCCAAACCTTCGCCTGAGTCCCAACCCAAGCCTTCGCCCAAGTCTCCACCCAAGCCTTCGCCCAAGTCTCCACCCAAGCTTTCGCCCAAGTCTCCACCCAAATCTCCACCTAAGTCTCCACCCAAGCCTGTAGATCCTCAGTGGCCACCGCCGCCGCGAAAATTTGTATTCCCTCGTGCGAGCTGGCGAAGGGAAATGCAAAACAAGGGAATACCTGAGCCTCAACCTCAACCTCAGCCGCGACCTCCTGCACCCCTTCCACCCCCGCTGCCAGAGGCTCCTCGTTCGCCACCCCGGATGTTCAAATTTGCCCGAATAAATTGGCGAGATCCGACGGGCATCGGCCAACGGATGAAGCATTTCCTGCCCGCAGCAGCTCCCAATATCGATCCTAACGATCCTCATCAAGTGGCTTTCTTTCACTTGCAAAATAAATTGCTCAGATACTTTGGTAAGGACCGATACTCTGTCATGCTAAGAAACAACGCCTCACAGTTGATCGAGTATATTAGAGAGGTCGGACGAAAAGCTTTTGACTAAAACTGCAAATGTTGATGTTTATTTCATCACATTTTAAATTTTAAAGGGTGCTTGTAGTATGAAACTTCACGAGTGACCCAGTGAAACCACTTTAAGAGCCTCAAAATATTGTATAAACGGAGTTACAAGCGCTTAAAGTTTCGTAATTTTGCCCGAACTATCCTGTTGGTTCGATCCACTGTGCGCCGTGTGAGTCTTAGGACGCTGTCATATTTATTTCAATAAATAACGAACTTTCTGAGAAAATAGTGAATATTTTTCTTTAAAAAAAAAATATTTAAAATGTTTGCGGTTGTAGCGCTTGCACCGTGATCGGGGGGTCCCGGGTTTGACTCCCGGACAGGTGACCCGAGTTTGATGGTCTCAAATAACGATTATCTGGGGCTAGCTTGATAAGAGACGGAGGAGGACTTGAGGGACGGTAAAGCGCAAGATTATCCCTCGTGGGATATTTGAAGTAGAAAATAAAAAATGTCAGACAATTTTGTTCGCAATTTCACATAAAATATCTGACAATTTCAAGAAAAAATTCGTATAACTTTTCTCAAACATATGTTTTGTCAGGGAAAATTTGCCAACTCTCAAATGTCCATACGGCGTTCTTCGTTAGCATGGCAGTACTACTTTCACACCTCGGAGGTGCGTTCAAAATCTTGATTACACCGATGGCAGATCCAGGGAAGGGGTCTTAATGATGTGGCCCCCTATTGACCTCAGAAAAAAAGATTGAGACAATGAATCGGACCTGATCATATGGATTACATTTTGCAAAAAGGGACCACTGTCTTTGGCTCTTCTATAAAAGCACCCTTCTGCACAGGGAGACCAATGGAATATAAGTCGTTTCTAAAATGAGCCAAGAATAGTGGTTCCTCATTGCAAAATGTAATCCATATCATACTCTACTCTACAATATAAAAGTCGTATTTTGTTCGACGAAACAACTCGGAACATCTCGTGACAGTCGTATTTTGTTCGAATGTTATTTATGTTAAGGGGTGTGGCCTATTTTTATTCGTTTCATTATTTTGCACAATTTGGCAACGTTTTGCGACATTGTTTCGAAACAATCGGAACGTCCTCAGAGCTTGTTACGGCTGTTGTGTAAATTTGTTAACAAGATTCCTAACCTCACTTCTAGCTGCTTTGCTCTCATTGGCTGTGAAAAAGTGACGCAAATAACACAAAATCGGTAACAGGAAACAATTGTTGCGGCGAACAAAATACGACTAAAGTCATAAGAGTGCCAATCGTGACGGAAATACCAGAAAAAAAAATGTCTTCGTGAATTGTTCTAATCGATACTCATACATTCCAGGAAAGGACCCCGAAGATGAACGTGGTTCAAATAAATTAAATAGGTATAGGTTCGGATAATAAAATCCTTGCTTTGTTTGTGATTTGATTACTTGTCTGTTCGAATAGCTATGCACACTGCTCCTCATAGGGAATTGTTCCGTCAGGAACTGTCCGATCTTCATGGAGATCAATTCAAACCAGAAGCCATAGATCAACAAACGCGCTCCAGAGAATGGATTGAAAAAAACTGCGGTCCTTTAAAGGATGAGGATCGGGTAGCATGTAAGTAAACAAAATTCAACATTACTTGAATATTTCGTAAAAATGTAATGCTCCACTCATTTTAGCTTCGTCTCTCATATTTTACTAATGGACAGGGTCAACAATAACCATGATTGGTGTCCGATTATGGCTCAAAAACAAAACCCCGGTTCGATCGGTTTCCAATTGTGAATTTGAACTAGAATTTGCAAGTTTTGGCGACGAAACGTATCACTTTTAGACATTTTTACCAAATTTTAGACTTTTCTACAATGATTCTGAACATATGAGTGGAATGATAGAATCTTCATAAAAACGAATATCGTTAGGCAAAATGCACTTAGATCCATGCTCAGCTATAAAATGTTCGGTTGCTCGTCACGTCCAAGATCTTGGAATCCATGCTCACTTTAATTTGGGATAATTTTTTCGAAACATCGAAGTTAGCATAGCATCCACAATTGCGGAATGCAGGTATTCTTTAACAATACACGAGCATAGGGTCCAAAAACTTATTAAGACAATTTTTGTGAAATAAAGGCGAAATAGTGTGTCCTCGAAAAAAATGGTACATTTCTCAGGTTAGGTTAGTTTAGGCTAGGTGAGGTTAGGTTTAGGTTAGGTAAGCGAAGTATACGATTTTTTATCGTGATGAACTTTAAACTTAGAGTGGTCTGATCATTAATTGTGTTCAGGTTTCCATAACAATAAAGAATTGAAATATCCTAAGAGTTACTATCAAGTTTCAGAATGAATTTTGATACAAATATTTTAACTCCAGTGTGGAGGGTGAAGTATCACACGAAACTGAAGGGGTTTTCGACGGGCGAAGACAGTTTGTATTTTATTACGACGACGCGTATGACGTGAACCAATGAAATAAACCCGCACCTCCCCGTCATTTCTTTGAGGACTAGGTCAGAATCTGCCAAGTTACGAAACATTTGCGAGAACATTTGCAAATAATGCAGTTTCTAGTGAGGTTTATCCCGACTATTTGCTGGAAAACTCTTCATGGACCTTCGATTAGCGATTGAAAGATTCTATGATTTACCATCAATATGCACAATAATTCTAAAAACATGCGAATAAAATGAAAAAAGGGTACTTTTTTATTCCTCAATTTTATTTCCCATAAACGTATTCCTAAATATTGTTTTCATTCAATGCCTGTCCAGAAGTTTTACTGTTTCGTGTTATTCTCCATTATTTCCTTCCTAATAGGACAAACCGAAGAAAATAAAGGTATCTTGTTTTTTCCCATCGAAGTGTAAATGTCCATAGCAGCTAGGGTACCGGAGAATACAAATATTTGACTACTACTGCTTTCATTCTTCCCTTCTTCCTCAGAATTTCTCATTTTCAAGTTGTTCTTTTTTCCTTTTACCCTCTCGAGCTGATAGAATTCATTACACCTAAAAAAAAAAAAAAAAAAAAAAAAAAAAAAGTTCACCTTTCAGCCAAAGTATCACAAGCGCCATGTGCATGTGACGTTTCAAAACTTACGCGGCCATTTTATTTTTATACAGAGAAAGTGTGGTTGAATCCGTTTGAAAATTTCACTGAATTTTCTTTGTATGCTACCAATAAAATTCAGTGACATTTTCGAACGGCTTCGTTGATCACTTTCTCTGCAAAAAATAAAACGTCGGCGAGAATTTTTAAACGTCACCTAGCGATTGTGATAGTTTGGCCGGAAGGTGACACAATATCAACTATTCATCTCTCTGTTTTACATCCCAGTGATCAACTCGCCGGCGTTGAAGCGAGAGTGCATCAAACGCTGCCATGAAATGTGGGGTTTCGCGTTCGTACCCTCATCAGAAGAAGCTCCTTCGGACCCAGCGGAATTCTTCGCGTGTGGCCGGTTAGTTCCGATCACGAACGGCGATGTGTCTCGAGATCCAGAACCGTACCTCGACGTGGACCTTCAGCCGGTCTTCGGATGCGACTGCAAGATAGACTGGCAATTCTACAGCCTCATGGGCAAGTTCAGGGTAACAAAGTTTTACATGAATCATTAAAGCGCCAACTACGCAGAGAAAAACCCCATCACTAACGTTTGGTTAATCCTGAAAGTAAAACACAAAATATCCCAAGACTTTGGTTGATTCTGGCGGTTCCGAGTCTCTACATCGTTTTCCGCGCTAAATTCACCCGCAAACTGTATCAATATTGACATAAAATTACGGTTGGTTTGTGTTCCACTTCCTACATTAACGAAAATGAAAAACAACTTAATCAGCCAAAATACACATAATAAAAGAACAATTCAATTTGGGGAAAAGGCTGCAAAAACAAGAACAAAGGATCGCTTTGTCTATAGCTTTCAAAAACCAGTTCGCCATGCAGATTAATCGTAAACTCTGTTATCACGTTTCAGGTCAACTCCGCCGAGTTCAATAAGATCAAGAATCATCCGGACACCACGGTGGAATATGCCGTGGAATGGCTTAAACAGGCATTTCAGGGTACGGGAGTGAACATTTTGAGTCACGAGGAACACCATATGCAGTGGAAGCAATTGTTCAGGAAGAGAAATTGGCCGGACCCGGAGCAGTTCGCGTACCACTCCATTGAACGGAATAAAGCTGCCGGAGGGGAGGATAACGAGAAAGCAGATGAACATTACTGGGAGAATATGAAATTCTACAAGAATCCACCTCCTCCACATCCAACTAGAGCTCCATCCACACTTACAGACAATGAAAAGAAAGAAAAAGAATGATGTCAACTTCGGTCATATGAACCAAATGTACGGTGTTCAACATCGGCCGTATTGTTCGGTTCATGTAACCGCTCTCTCGGTTCTGGGAGCCGAAATGAATTGAATTGAAATGAAATTAAATTAAATTAAACGTAATAAAGTAGAAAAAGTTGGTTTTTGCAATCGCTAGCGATAGCAATATTCGTCATGGGAACTTTTGCTTCTGGGATATGAAAATGTTAAGGTACAGTTCGTTTGTAGTATCTTCAGGATTGAAGGGGCTATGTAATTTTGTGTCGACATCTCTTTTTTAACATTTTTAATTTTTTTTCTTTGCATACAAGAAAGCTGTTATATTTACCAATTATTTATTTTCGTTGGATTATGTATGGTTTTCGGAAGTTAACGCATTTAACTTTCAGTTTCGTTTTTTCGG